TAATTATACTTAAATTAGTGAGTGACAGTGGAGCGGTTACATATAGGATATTGGTGGGAAAGCCATAAGGAACAAGACCAAGGCGTAGGTTGGTGGACAATATTAAAATTGATCTCAGATAGGATGGGATGGATTGGATTGATCTGGCTCAGGACATGGACCAGTGGAAGGCTCTTGTGAACACGGTAATGAAGCTTTGGGTTCCATAAGATGCCGGGGAATTCTTGAGTAGCTGCACAATTGGCGGCTTCTCATAAGGGGCTCAGCTCCATGAGTGAGCGAGTCTTGTGCCATTGTGACCTTCTAACCTAGAACATATAGTAATGCAACCACAGTTGGTAAGCTGTTTTCCAAGAGTTCATCAAAGAAATCACATATAAAATATAAAAATACGATATGTGCAAAACAACTTGGCTTAGACAAACAAAATTCCTATTATATCCTACTTCGTGAATTACTTCACAAATTATTCCTTGACACAAGAAAAAAACACATGAACACTACCGTATTCAACATGGCGGTCTGTATTGCAGTTGTCGGAAAAGAAGTGAGTTTTGTTCCCGGTAATTTTGTAGCGATGATACTGACATGTTAGTCATTAATAGTCAAGAACGAAGTAAGTTTTATTTAAAAATTACATCATATGATAGACTGTCTCTGTCATATCTGGCACTTATGAACGTGGAAACTCTTCGGATCAAGTAATATTCAACTGACATGATCTTAAAATACATTTGTAATTTCTATATAAAAATTTCATTCATGACGAATATGTCCAGATTGCAGTTGTAGATTGACGCTACGATGTCGTGGTTGGCATAGTGTGGATGTTTATATAGATTGGCTCACAAGATGTACATTAATTATGTAAACCCGAATGAACGTGATGAGTATTTAGGTTATCTCTAAACTATTCCAATGGAATAGGGCGTTAGTTCGGAAGAACTGTATACATTTTTCGGGTTGTGGGACCCAGCGAACGTTCTAACCAGTTAGTACCTGACAGTATAGCCCTGCTGGTAAAGAGCCGGGAAAGTGAAGATGACCATTTGTTTCTTCCAAGGAAAAAACTCGGACCTTTATATGTGCACATTTTACAGCATGTATGGCATAGCGCTAAGGCATGGTCAACTTTGCCATATTGTTAGTTGTTCATTCAGTACAGTATGCAAATTGAATAATAAGTAAATAAAGGAAGATGTAACCGAACTAACAATGGTAAATAAGAGAATTATGGGTTCACTTTCGCAGTCATGTGGCATGATGATACACAAAATTATACATGAAATGGTTTTCTTTCTGTTTTTTTTTTTTTTTTTCAGAATTCTCCCAAGTACATATCATGTCTACACCCAGAACAGGAGTTACAGTTTCAGCTTAAAGTGCACACATCTCTTGATGTTGTTGAAGAAAAGCTTTCCTCTGTTGGTAAAACCAGTGGAGATGTGAGAGAATTGTATCTTGGTCTGTTGTATTCCACAGAAGAACATAAGATGTATCCTTTAGTAAAATTAGTTTTCAGATGGCATAAACAAAGATCAAATACATTTATACCAATTCATGTGTAATAGCCCTTTTCAGACAGTTTTTATTAACGTTTATGTTGCAATCAAACCATCCAAATTATAGGATTAGTATAAAGCCCAAAATTTGTGTTCTTGTGTGCTGTAAAACAATGGTAATATATTCTGTAGAATATGTAACTATTGAATCATAACTGTGCCAGGCAAAACCAGACATAACTTTTCTGCTGTCAGATAAATTCACAGAGTGTAGTTACAGTGAACTTTCTTACTTCATTATCAGCAAGATGCTGGGTCTGTGATCAAGTCCAAACTTAAAGATGTAGGATGTCATAATTTGCTGCCTGGTCAGGGCTGTCACAACACTGGAGTGATGGTGGTTTAGCGTGGGGTATGGCAGAATAAAGATTAGCAGAGGGACATGAAAGAAACTCTAAAAATAACTTGCTCCATTGCCATTTTGTCCATCACAGATTTCACATGAAGCCACCAGGGCTTGAATACAAGGCTCTGCAGTAGGAAGCTATTGTCAGACTGCCCAAACTATGGCATGGCTTTCATGCAGTGAATTTTTGAGTAAGTAGACATTTGGGCATCTACTCATATGTGCTGTTTATGGCACATGCATTCACACATATCCTGCCTTACTCTGCTTTCTGCTACTTGACTCCACACCATCTGCTGAGTACATCTGAAAAGAACAGCAAAGCATCTGTTTCTCATTTTGCTTGTAGTTGTTAAAGCATACCATGTAACTCTTACAGTAGCATCGACACAACTATCTAGTAGTAACAGTATTTATATTTATTCTTTCCCATTTCATGTTTTGACCCTATTTCAGAGTCATCTTCAGGTGGTATACACATGTTAGTCATCAGAATCATCACACCTTACATTCTAATAGAAAATGGGCCCCTTGTTTATAAGGATTATCCAGTTGGATGTCTATCATAAGGTCAATAGTGAAAGGGGTAAGTATAAGTATGAGAATATGCAAGGAAATAAAATAAACATAAATATAATATACTGTGTGAGGGCATTGATGAGATGTATATAGTTGTACTGTAACCGTACGCATCCTTCACGGAAAGTCTTATTTGTTTGTAAGTAACGGTTAAGTTTAGCTGTAGAAATGAGATGCCCCGGAGGGATCATGGTCCTTTGAACTGGCATTTTGTTGCGAGGGACAGAAGGGAGGTTGGTAAGTCCATTGCATTCAGGGGAGGAGTAGGTATACCTTCTTTCGTCCGTGCCTGTGGGGGTGGAGGACCTGTGGATCGAAGTTTCGAGAAGGTGTGCAGACCGGAAGGGGTCCGTGCATTTGGTCATGAAGCCCTCCCAGTGGAAAGTTCGAGATGGGTAAGAACGTGGTTTCTGGGAGCAGTGGCGGTGGTCATGGGGCAGTTAGTGGGTAGAGGCCAGGGAGTGAGGGTGTTCATGTGGAACCTGTGCTAGGGGGTTAACCGATCGAGCCCGCATAAAAAAAAAAAAACGACGTAAGCGAGCCAACACCCATGTACCCCTGGGATGTAAGACTCATTCCGCTGAATTTAGTCGAGGCATACACCCCGTCGAAGTGAAGCGTGTGGGGACGGGTGTAGTACATATGCTGAGTATTATGTGCATGTACATCGTAGGTTTGTTGTTTGGGTTAAAATATTGTAAAAATTATATTGAAATAATGAAAAGTACATTAAAGTGACACGTTGGACCATTGTGGTTCCCCCTTGTTGTTGTACTTGTGGTATACCATGCCTGATGGCACTCATTATTTGTTGTATTTTGCTGTTAACCTCTAAAATAAAAGTACAGTTTTGTTGGCTTCACATATAACATTTATCTATACTGTATTGGCTTGCATTATATTGTTATTTTTGTTGGAAACTTTTGTAAGTGTATCAAGTGAGGTACACTTCATTATCCCGCATGGTATCATGTTCTTTACTCATATGGTTTGGAATGTTTTATTATGCTGTTTATTGCATAATGTTTTGAATTAACATGTTTTTATGTGGTAAATTCTTTCATAGGATTTCACATAGAAACACTGAAACCAAAACATTACACACAAACGAACTTTGTGGCCTGTAGTCTGCAAGTGAACTATACTGAGCGACCGCCACTTGTTGGCAAAGTTAGTGCCAACTTTTGTGGCTAGAGGGTGTCATGTGGTCAGCGCAACGGTTCCCCACGTTTGTTAATCTCGGTTTTCTAGACTGGATCCACTATTTCAATGATAGAGCTCCTCAGTTATCCTCACGAGGTTGAGTGGACCCTGTTCCAGATCCACTGCTTCTCAGAAAATCAGGTAGCGCCGGGAATCGAACCTGGGACCTCTGGATCTGTAGCCACTAGACCACAGAAACATTACACAATACAGAGCGTGATAAAACATTTCAATGCAGATGACTGAACAATACCACAACACTGTTTAGTGTTGTTTAGTTTAGTGACTGTAATAGTCAGTTATTACATATAATACTACTGTTCCTACCATAAGGTAAAAGGTAAAGTTGTCTCAGTACATAACTACTTAAGCACTACGCTATGAAGGCGTATGGGGGAGTGGATGTATAGATCCACATTTTCTTGAGCTTGGCCCTAGCTGGAGGTGAGTGGTTAACTTCACACTCCAGCCGCTTTACCCCTGGGGAAAGAGGCCACCAGTACGAATTGGGTAGGAGGTTGGGTGGACCCCAGAGCCAGTTGGGATGACACAGAGAAGAGAAAATTCTTGACCCTACTATGACTCGAACTCTGACCCCTTTGTCATCCAGTCCATAGCCAGTTGCTACACCAACTATGCCATCCTGGCTCTAAGCCTAGTGTAAATGGTTAATAAAGTGTACCCCACTTAACACAGTTATAAAAACTTAAAAAGACAAACAAGTTAAAGTTATTCAAAGGATTATCTAAGTGGCCATTCCGTGAAGATGTAGGGGGAATAGAGGTACTGCTCTACCATTCTTGAACTTGGCACTAGATCGAGATGAAGAATTTCAGAGTAAGTAACATTCATAAGGTAATTAATTCTATTTGCAGTAAGGAAAAATTGCCTGATAGTGGAAGAAGTCTGTTATTTCACCAGTTCTCACGAAAGGTGATAAAACTGCCTCTAGTATTTATTGTGGGATATCACTGTTATCAACTTCATATAACATTTTATCTAATATTCTTCTCTCAAGGTTAAGTCCATATATAGAAAAAATATTGGGGATCATCATTGTAGGTTTTGATGTAATAGATCAGCTACAGGTCACATTTTTTGCATTCGTCAGATACTGGAAAAAAAAATGGAATACAGTGAGAGAGTATATCAGCTATTCATAGAGTTCAAGAAAGCCTATGATTCATTTAGGAGGGAAGTATTCTACAATATTCTCATAGAGTTTGGGGTACCCAGGAAACTAGTTAGGATGATTAAAATGTGTTTAAATGGAACGTATAGTAAAGTCCGTGTAGGTAAACATTTGTCAGATAAATTTCCTATTCAGAATGGTCTAGTTTTTAGTTTAGTTAATTAGAGAGGGTGGGTTTCCCCATGCACCGTGACCAGTTTGATCTATTGTGCTTCCCTCTATGATATTCTACCAGTCTCTATATCCTACCGGTACTGGTGCTTACCATCAGTCCCGCCCAGCCAGCGAGACCGGCTCTACTAGCTGAGAGGTATCTATAATGCCTCCCCCTTCTACCAGAGGTATTAGAGACTGCTGTTGGGCGGGAAACGTCCATAATTTTGGTTCAGTGACCCCTTTGAAGATATGAGGTTCTTTTACGTGCCGTAAAGCTACGACACGGGACCCATGGCTTAAAGTCCCTCCCTGAGGACTTGTTCCCTGAATTTTTCTGCCCTTAAAAATTCGATGACCTCCGCCGCTATTTGAACCTGCGTACTACGAGTCATAAGGTGGGAACGTTACCTCTAGACTACTGAGGCCGCTTCCAAATGGTCTAAAACAAGGAGATGCTTTATCGCCACTCCGTTTCAACTTTGCCTTAGAATATGCAATTAGGAAGGTCCAGGGAAACCAGGTGGGATTGAAACTAAACGGGACAATATCAGCTGTTGGTCTACGCCGATGATGTGAATCTACTGGGTGATAATGTAGATACCATAAAGGAAAACACACAAACTTTAATTGACGCAAGTAAAGAGGTTGGTCTAGAAGTAAACACACAGGAAACTAAGTATATGATGCTGTCTTTTCACCAGAATGCAGGGCAAAATCATGGTATATAGGAAACAATGTTTTGAAAATGTGGCACAGTTCAGATATTTGGGAACGACTATAACAAATCAAAACCTGATTTAGGAGGAAATTAAGGGGCAAAGGAATTTGGGTAATGCTTGCTATTATTCAGTCCAGCACCTTTTCTCTTCTCATCTGCAGCCAAAAAAATAAAAATTAGAATATACAAAACTATTATTTTGCCCGTGGTTTTGTATGGGTGTGAAAGTTGGTCTCTGACATTAAGAAACATAGACTGAGGGTGTTTGAGAACAGGATGCTGAGGAGAGTATATGGATCGAAGAGATGAAGTGACGGGAGATTGGAGGAGACTGCATAATGAAGAGCTTCATAACTTGTACTCTTATCCAAGTATAATTAGAATGATGATGTCGAGGAGGATGAGATGGGCAGGGCATGTAGGATATGGGTGGGAAAGCCAGAAGGAAAGAGACCACTAGGAAGATGAAGATATAGGTGGGTGGCCAATATTAAAATGGATCTTGGGGGAGATAGGATGGGATCTGGCTCAGGCTAGAGACTAGTGGAGTGGTCTTGTGAACATGGTAATGAACCTTCAGGTTCCATAAAATGCTGGGAACTTCTTGAGTAGCTGCATAATTGGTGGCTTTTCAGGAAGGACTCAGCTTCATGAGTGAGTGAGCAACACTATAACAGAAGCCAGATAAACATATGTACGAGTAAAGCCAACATAACGTAATGTTACAGGTCAACATTCAAATGATACTAACAGGCACCACAAGGCTTGCTACATCACATGTACAACAATAATAGAGAACCACAACATTCCACCATGTTACTTCAGTATTATATTAATATAATTTTGATAACAGTTTTAACGCAACCAAACGAGAAATCAAAAAAGAAACTAAAAAGATACACCAAATGTGCACCATACATACACTTAAGTACATCTTACCCACATTTTCCTTCAGCACATTACATTTAATGTAATTTTATTGCCTGCATATGCACATATTATAATTTTTATATATATATATATATGGTGTCTCCACCTTATCGTGGTGAGGGGGATTGAGTATGCAAAGGACCCTGAGAGCTATACCAGCGGTAGCGTAGCTACTGGCAGGGCCTCCCTTGCTGGACAGGTCAAAGGGTAGACATCAGACAAAGAGAGACACCAAAAACTGATGCTGGAAGCAGCGTCAGCAGCAGCAACTTGAAGCACAGAGCAAATGATGCTTGAGATGGTTCAAGTTCGTATAGCAACAGGCGTGACCAGAGTGGTTTGAACAGCTGTTGTACTGCGATGTGGAAAGCAAATGGAAAAATTACCACATTATCTCTTTTCATGGATAGTCTCTTTCCGAAAACAGAAGATCGCGTTAAGTGGAGGAACTATTTCAGAAGAGACTGTGGGCCTGTCGTCTGACAGATTACTGATGAATGAATATATGTACATATACTCTGACATTAAGGGAGGAACATAGACTGAGGGTGTTTGAGAACAGCGTGTTGAGGAGAATATTTGGACCAAAGAGAGATGAAGTGACAGGAGGTTGGAGAAAAGTGCATAATGAGGAGCGTCATAACTTGTACTCTTCTCCAAGTAGAATTAGAATGATCAAGTCAAGGAGGATGAGATGGTCAGGGCATGTAGCACGAATGGGGGAGATGAATGCATATAGGATATTGGTGGGAAAGCCAGAAGGAAAGAGACCACAGGGAAGACCAAGGTGTAGGTTGGTGGACAATATTAAAATTGATCTTAAGAGAGATAGGATGGCATGGTATGGATTGGATTGATCTGGCTCAGGGTAGGGACCAGTGGAGGACTCTTGTGAACACGGTAATGAAGCTTTGGGTTCCATAAAATGGTGGGAAATTCTTGAGTAGCTGCAGAATTGGCTGCTGCTCCATTAGGGCTCAGCTCCATGAGTAAGTAAGTATATATGTATTTCACTGTTTGACTTTATGATAAATATCCAGTTGAACAATGCTTAGATACAATGGATGCATTGTGGGATGTGGAATCTGGTAGGATGGAGAGAGAACCCACGTTAACTTCTGTAACAAATATTTATTGCTGTTAGATTATACACATGCGCAGTATTTGATAATTGGTCAGAAAGGGCTGTAACTCTGAGGCCGGGTAAGCCTGATGGATGCTAGACAAAGCTTGTGTTGCAGCAGGCCAGCATGTGCTAGCATCAACAGTCTTCCTTGAGCAGCAGTTCAGTGGTTGCAGGCCAGATATTGGGCGGTGACCTTCCCAGTTGGGCTAGGTAACAGCAGAGTCGGCCTGACAGTGTTGATCCTTGGAGACTTGCTCTTGCTCTGCTGTCTTGATGTACGCATAGCTGCGACTGTTGCTAGTGTGTTGGAGGTCCACATTTTTTACACATTTTCGCTAAGTGGCACACAAACCAATGGGCATGGGCAGCCATGGTCTGCGCTGATTGGCTGGAACTTAATTCAGTGTGGGTGCCTCCCACATTTTGTTTGAAAATATGGTGTGATGATGCAGATGAATGATGCTGAAGTGTGTAAACCACCTGAAGATTACCCAGAAATAGGGTCAAAGCATGTACTGGGTAAGAAGAAACCCTATTAATTCCAGATAGTTGTGTTCATGTTATTCCAAGAAATATATTTATCGAATATTATAGTTCAGCATCCCATTATCCTATTTTACTAATGTATCAGTCAATAATACAACTTTAAAAAGGCATTAGGAATATGTTGTTCACTAAAAATGTTGTGAAGATAAATTACGTAAAACCAATACAACTTGAGGAGATGCTAACGTAATAGCCTATGGGCATGCTTTTGCTTTGAACTGTCATAGTATTAAAATGCATTGTTAGTGAACAACATATTCCTAATGTCTTTTTGAAGTTTTATTATTGATGGATACGTTAGTAAAATAGGATATTTATCAAACGTACCTGGATGATTAAAGCTAACTAGCCTCTCCTAGAAAAATTTGGTAGTTGAAGTCATGAGATGGGCGGTTAATGTTGTGGTTATGTTAAAATTTGGCATGCTTCTGTACATCTTCAGAACCGCCTGTATGGCAAAGAACACACGATAGCTGCAGCTTACTGCTGTTAGTCCACAATGAAATATTCTTCTTTTATGGCACTGCCAGTATTACTAAATGTTCGTGTAGCAGTTCTAGGTTAAATTTTCAGGAATGTTGAGCAGCCATGGTTGTCTTTATGAATTGAATGCTTCATTGCTGCTTTAAACCCTGGGGTTAGAAAAGTTACTCATTGACAAGTATGGGGGCTGCATGACAAGAAAAGATGTTTGTTTTATGCCAAAATTATATATATTATTATAAATAAGCAGTTGCTGTAGAAACCATCATAACTGGAAATATCAGAGAGCACTGTCATATTGTCATAGGAAGCAGATGATGAGAAAATTTTGCTTTTCCAGATTCTGTATTTTAAAACTGTTTCCAAATGACCTTAATATAATACAGATTTGGTTATGTAACAAATACCAAAATCAAATTCATTATAGTGGTGGAATCATCCAACACTTTACTTCGTGACAATGAAGTAAGAATGGTAAGCATTTCATGGGAAGGAATGGATTGTTCTGATATCTGTAGTGATACGTAATCCATGAGATTATTTTAACGGGCTTAACATATTATGTCTTGATCTAAATGTTACATGACATAGGTGGTAACTGCATGTCTAAGATTATCTGAAAAGAATGCTGAATCAGGATGTTACTGTTAAAATATAAAACTTGATTAGAAGTAAGGATATGTGACATATAGTGTGTTAGCATTAATTCATACCACAGAAGCATTCAGATGCTCATTTAAGTACTTTGAGTTGAAGAGGTGGTCGACTGCTTTAGAGTTGTTTGTAAAACAGATTAACTGAATTTATGATGTACTGTGTTTGCAGATGTTTCGAAAGCTTCATAGTCTATATACAGATGTTGTGTGCAATCCCTTCTATATCCCTTGTGATCATGTTATTTCCACGTAAGTCTGTGTAAATGAAATGCTTTTTTGTATATAAGTCATGAGTATATCTTCATGTCACATGTACATAAAGTAATAAAACATACTTCAGATACAGTAGTGAATTTGACAGTTCTGATCATAACTTCCTTTGGTGGGCTGAGATACTTTCAATGCCACCAGATATGTTTGCATGAATTCATTCATTATTTATGCTTAACATTAAGCAACTCTACAGCCTAAAATTTCATAACTACTTCTGACTTGGTTTGTTATTTATGTATATTAATTATTTTATATAATTTTTCAGGAATTTTGATACCACAGTGAAGAATATAATGACTGGAAATGCATGAGTTTGAATAAATGTGTTTGGAACATGTATTCATTATTCAAATGAAATAAGTAATTTGTTATGAATTTCCTTACTGTGTTGTAAAATTCGATACCCCTGTACTGGTTGATGCAAGAATGACAATGAAAGAAGTATATTTATATATATATATATATGTACATATATTCACTTATTTATAGAAAATAGAATTAATTTCAGTGTACATTGAAGTCCCTAGTTAACGAGTGGCTACTTTTTTTACAAGACTAAATTGAAGTTGCTGAGTGAGCTGGGATAGTGCAGTTGGTATAGTGACTGGCTACGGGCTAGGCAACTGAGGGGTCAGAGCTAGAGTTCTGGTAGGGCCAAGAATTTTTTCTCTCCAAATTGTCCAGACCATCTCAGGGGCACACCCTGCCTCCTATCCAATGGGTACTGGGGTTCTTTGCCCGGGGGTTAAGTGGACGGAGTGTGAAGCTGACAAGTTACCTCCAACTAGTGCTGAGGTTGAGAAAATGTGGATCTATACATCCGCTCCCGCATATATCTTCATGGCATAGTGCTTAACCTTTATCGGACGGGCCATTTAATTTCCGGTAGGGGCAGCTGGACGGAGTTTATTTAAATGCCCGCCCTTCTAGGGCAATGGAATTGTAAGCATGCTTCTAAAAATGGTGTAATTTCTACATTTTTTATGATAAACGAACGAAATGAACGCTCCTTTAATGTAGAAAGAATATAGAATCATATATTCTAATTTACAGATTTTAATATCTGTAAAAAAATTTTACACTCATTCAAAAAAAAATCCCGAAATTCATACATTTTCTGCACCATGCGTTCTAGCAGTGTAATACATTTTCTGCACCATGCGTTTTAGCAGTGTAAAAGTCC